ATATATATATATATATATTTTTTTTCCAGTGCATAAAATGGATATGAAAGCTATCCATTATCAGAAATTTGCATCTATTCTGCATCCATCTATTTGCAACTAATCTGCATATATTTTTAAATACAGATAATTATTGTGTATGTCTGGTGAAACTGTTCACGAATCAGTTTGGGAAGAACAAAATCGAGATTAGGGAAATGAACTGAGCAAAACAAAACTGAGGAAAAATAAATGTATCACTTTAAAAATGAAGAACTTAACACTTGGCAACAGCGTACTGTTTTCTCGTTAGCGTTAATTGCCCCTGTGACAGCAATTAAAGACAAGGTCCTCCTCTGACTCCCAATCACTTATCTCTCCATTAGAAAGAGTACTTTAAGTTTTTATTGGTGTAATAAAGTTGAGCTTCAGCGCCACAAAAAGCCCTCTGACTCCTGGGAGCTCAGATGTCCCAGATTGATTCTGCTCATCATCATCTGCTTCATCCGTTATTGTTCTACTTTTAAAAAAGAAGTGATAAACAACACATCTATCTATGTGGTTTTATGGACAAATCAAATGTATTTTTAAGCGAACCTAAGATTTTTGTAATTTCTCGCAATGATTTATTTAAATTTTCAAAAGCCACTGGTGTTTTTCCAAATACATTTTTAAACAATTCACTTAAATGTCAACAAAGGCAAACAGGAATTTGAGGGTAATCTAATACCACCGTGCCCTCTTGTGGACGAAACAACTCATTGTAAAAAAAGTGAATTCCAGCTCGACGAACAGACTGCAGGAAATATATCAGTGTTTTTTAAAATTATTATTACATTTCCTCTAGGCGTGCAAAATCCAAAAGATTTAATTTAGCGTGATATCTTGAACGAACACGGTGATATTGAAAAAGACCAACTGTCAAAATAAACATATATACCATTTCAGGTCTGTTATGCACCTGATCACCAGCTGTTTAAAGGTTAGAGGCTCTTTGAGGCAGCGGGTTCTGTCTGTAGGCCTGAATCCTTCCTGTCTTTGAACAAGAGGTCAGCTCTCTCAAAAACACATTCAAACTCTCTCACTGTGGCTTAATGTGTACCTATTGTCTGTTTTAATCGGTCTTTTATTTGAATAAATAACTATTTAAACACTTTGTACAGATCTTCAGACAGAAACTGTTGGATTAGGCATCATGTTGTCCTTTTTATTATATACATGTGTATAATAATAACACACATTTATGCGATGTTTATAATTTGTATTTATGACATATTTATAATTTTATGATTTTTTATAAAAGCCACTCATGCATGGGGGAACAAATAAAAAAAACCCTCATCCTGCTGACATCACAGCTAAATGCACATGAGTGCACCTGATCTGATGAGCCACCCAGCCGCTCCCTAAAGGACACCGAGAAGCTCAATACTCAGTTGATGTGATGATGTGCATTCTTGCGTGTGTTATCCTCGGATGCAGGCGGGGGAGGCACAACAGTGACGTTCTAACGCGCACTAACCTTTAAAATCTGACACACGCACACGCCTTGGTGCAGAAACCTCCTCAGCAAAGGCCACATCACAACATTACAGGTGGGGAAATCTGAACTAAAAACAAAAACAAAAAACTTACATTGGCATGTGATTTTGCCTGATTTTGCTTTCCATTTGTTTCAAAGGGAGTTTGGATTTGTACAAAGGGACGACGATCGCACTCAAGTCAGAAAGTAACAATGTGGATCCTGGGCAAGATCAGGGAGAGCGTGGAGAGCATTCCTCTGGAGCTGAATCGCTACGTGGGAAACAGTGAAGAGGACGTCTTCTTCCTGTCTAAGGCCAGCCTCTCTCAGAATCTGCACAGCAACATCATCACACCGGACAACATCCCCAAATTCTGCCTGCCTCCTCGGCTTTGCAAGAGAAGCCCACCGCCGGAAGCTCAACCAGACCTGAGCAGTCAAAACCAAACAACGAAGAGCAGCACGGCTTCTAAAGTTATACAGACAAAAGTGAAGGCGAAACCAAAGAAAGATGACGCCTCAGAGACTTGGAAAGCTAAAAAGAAGCCTCTGCCGTTCTCAGCAGAGGGTTACGGCCTGGCTGGGATTTATGAGAGCCCCAACACTCGAAGGAAGGAGTCTTTGTTCCACTCAAAGTCTCCAGTGTACGTGTTTGAAAGGAGCATCCCTACTATGCCACCAAGGCAAGCAAAGGAGGCAAACGAAACCAAGAAAGCCTTTTCTGGTTTCCTCCCGCTGTTCTCGTGCAAAAGCCTGTCAGAAACAGACAACAGAGAAGGAGAAACTACTTCCTCTGCTGATTCTGCTCCTTTTTGTTCCTCCYACAGCATCAAACCCTTCAACTGCAGCCCAACAAGAAGTGAGCGTCTTAAAGAAACCAAGTCCTGCCCTTCATTAATCAACAGCTCAAGTTTCAAAGTCTCTCCGTCCACAGAGAGTCTATCCCCACCTGTCCTCTTCCCGTTGGACCTCCTGCACTGCCAGGAGAGACTCCAGAGTGAACATGTCCTCCCCCTGCAGGGACGTGGCAGAGTTCGACTCGCCGCCGAGCGAACGGCCTTCTCGGGCAACCCCTTCTGCACAGTCAGAGTGCGCCTGGTGTGCGTGGAAGGGCTGAGCGAGGAGGCGGATCGGCAGAGCCCGAACTGCAAGGTGAGCCTGTGTCTGATGCCGGGGAAGCTGCAGCAGCAGGAGAGCRCCACCATCAGGAACTGCCGCAGCCCCGTGTTCAATGAAGATTTCTTCTTCACGGAGCTGAGGCACCAAGATCTGCTGGAACTGCAGCTCAGGTTGAAGGTGGTGGATAAACCTGCAGCTGGGTCTCTGAGGAGGGGAACGCTGATTGGAACTGTTAGTAAACCTCTTACTCTGTTACTTCCCAATCAGTAGCATGCATAAGTGTTATTTATATTATTATGGATGCAGCTCTATTATTGATTAACTCTTGGAGAAACAAAGGTTAATTTTGATTTGATTGACATGCTGCTTAACAAACTCCAGCAAAATGAATCATTAGGGAACACAAGCGACAAAATATCTACAATTCTGTCAAGAACGACATAACAGAGTCACAACTATAGTCTGTATTTAAGTGTACATGTGGACAAAATCATGAGACTTATGATGCTCCCCATAAAACAAGATATCTGAAGACTACTATGTAAAGTTGGATTTATTATGTCTGCTGTGTTTAAAAATGCAAAAAAGGAACAAAAAAGTAAGGGTGGTGTTTGACCTTCCTTGTTATGTTACTTTATTGTACTTTCCTATTATTCAACTTATTTTGTGTGTGTGTGTGTGTGTGTGTGTGTGTGTGTGTGTGTGTGTGTGTGTG